GTGAGATTTGAACCGCTGACCTGCTGATCTAGCAGTAGCCTGCAGTGCTGCTTTTAACCACTGCGCCACCTTGGCTATCACGACCCCCTCCCCACTTCAAAAAGAGATTGGATTGCCATTTGTCAGAAATGGTGTAGGGTCTCCTGCTTGAGGGGGTGGTGGTGTTGGACTCGAATTACCTATGAAGCCCCTTCCAACTCTGTTAATCTGTTAATCTTTTTAGGCTATCTAAGGGTGTGTGCATGTGTTGTGTTATTTTTTGGGAGCCAGCTTCAGTTAGAATTGACACTTGACAATTGTCTGGACTAGTCCCTGTCATTTTCTCAGCAAGGTTTTCGGAGGTGGTTTGCCCTTGCTTTACAGAATGGAGAGAGGATGATTGGCCCAAGGCCGCCCAGTTGGTTTTGTGCCTAAAGCAGGATTAGAACTCCCAAGTCTCCTGGTTTCTAGCCTGGTGTCTTAATCAGAGCACCAAACTGGGTAATTTAAGGGTTTAGCCTGGGATATTTTTGTCTCAAGGACATTCCACCCCAATTTTTTAAAATTTATTTATTTGTATAGAGGCATATTTATACATTTTCCTGTTCTGTAACTTCCTACCCATTTCTTATTTTTATGTGCCTAAGTGGGTGGGGGGAATTTGCACGCAACAATTACAGGTGGTCCTCGACCAACAACAGTTTGTTTAGTGACTGTTCAAAGTTTCAGTGGCATTGAAAAAAGAGACTTATTATTGTGTTTCACACTTATGACCATTGTAGCATCCCCATGGTCATGTGATTTACCTTCAGATAACAATAGCAATAGCTATTATATACCACTTCACAGTGCTTTCCAGCCCTCTCTAAGCAGTTTATAAAGTCAGCATATTTCCCCCTGGGTCCTCATTTTATCGACCTTGGAAGGATGGAAGGCTGAGTCAACCTTAAGCTGGTAGGACTCGGATTGCCAAATTGCAGGCTGCTAGCAGGCAGCACAAATAGCTTGCAGTACTGCATTCTAACCACTGTGCCATTACGGTTCTTCACAACGGGTTCATATTTATGACGGTTGCAGTGTCCTGGAGTCATGTGATCACTTTTTGCAACCTGATAAGCAAAGCCAATGGGGAAGCCAGATTCACT